ATACTTACCGCTTCCCATACTATCTCGATGTTCTAATTTAGAATCTTTGATCCTATCTTACTGTGGCGATTATCGAAACAAACCCGCTCTCCAACCCATTTCCACTGAAAAAGTTTCTTCGATAGCTCCATTAAAAACTCTTCAACTAAATTCTACTTATCTATATAACTCTGATTTAATATCTTTTATAATAGGTTCCAATAAAAACTTACAGGAACTCATTTTAGATATAAATCTGAGTGATTATCCATCACTAGATACTACAATCGCTGAAAACTGTCCGAATCTACGAAAATTGAAATCAAATCTGTTCGGTCCTTACATCTTAACCATACTGAAACACTGCCATAAAATTGAATATATAAACATAAAAGGTGCATATCATCGTGGAAGTTCTTTATTTCAAACTTACCTCGAACCTGGCCAAATTCTTGAACAGATAGCTACGACTTCTTCTGAACAATTGAAAAAACTTGTGATTGATATTTCAAGTTTATTTACAAATGAAGATTTATCAAAGTTTTTTGCAAAATGTTGTGGAGGACTCGAATATTTTGGAGGTGGTTGTTATGGATACAGAGAACATGTCGAAGATGAAATTATGAAATATGCTAGGAAGTGGGGTGTGGGTGTTGTTGGGATTAGTTATGAGAGTCGAAGTTTTGGAACGATAGGAGGCTCGGTAGGTGGCCTTGGAGGATTGCTCAATGCATGGGGAAATGGGATGGGGTTTGATGGTGAGGATGGAAGTGAGTTTGGAAATGAACGACATGAAATGAGTGTCTTTAATTTGCATGTTAAGTTTGGAGGTAGAAGAATAATTTAGATAGTTTAAGCATGCTCTTATTATGTGTGATTTGGCTTCTCTATTATTGATTGATTGGTATTAATGAACATTTGTTAACATCATCCCGTTAGCTTTTAGGTTAACCGTGATTATCATTGTTATAATGTATTATTGTATCTTGTCAAAAATATTTCAAATTTACTTGTTTTTTGTTATTATACATATTTTTAGGAACTTTAATATAGTTTTTGTTTTTGATTTTTTATTTTATTTTATTTTTACCACGAACTAACAAACTTTTATCGTAATTCTAATTCAAAATGCATTAACATTTGTAGGCAACTAATTTTGTTTTTTTTTTCAACTTGCATACCTTTTTTTAACACAAATAAATAAATCCTGCATTCAATTTAGTCACAACACACTTTAATTTATTAGCAGTATTTTAACTATGCGTATAACGGATAGAAAATAATAATCTGTAAATAAATTTTGTCTTAAAATTCAATTTGTACGTTAAAAAAGAAAAAAAAAGTTTTAATAAATCGTATAATCATTTACCTATCTAGAATTCTCGAAAGTATAAATATATATTGATGCCGTACAACTTCATAATTATTTTTTGTATTAAACTTGTATGGTATTATAACAAAATATGCAAATAATCTTAGATTATTAGTAACATTTTTTGAAAAACATTATTTATTTTGTTAAACAAATTTATTTGGATTTGCTTAATTTCATTTTTAATATTTTTTTAAAAAATTGAAAATTTTAAACCAAAATATTTGTATCAAAATTATATAATACATAACAATAGTTAATAAAAAAAATTGCTTATAAAAATATTGTATTTATAAAATGTTTATATAAAATTTAAAAAAAACTGGTTAGCACATATTTAAATTTTTAGATTTTTTTTTAGTAACACTCATTTGGTAATTGTAAATTCTGAATTGAAGTATTGGTATAAAAGTGAAGTTTTTAAGAATTAAGATTTTGGATAAGTAAAGATTGATAAATTAATATTAGTA